TAAAAATACACAAGGGTTTAATAATCCTTTTAAAGTGAAACTTTAAAGAAGAACTATGGGGTTAAGGCTTTTCCTCATAGTTCTCCTTAGGGTACTGCTCGCGGTATACTGAGATGCCGCAGCTGAAGCGGATCCCGACAACTATCTAGAGGCAGAGCCAGCTGTACCCGCCCCTCCCCAGTCCGATCCGCCAGTCAGCGCTGGCGGATCAGGAAGGGGGGAATCCAGCAGCGTGTGACGTGTGGCTTAGGCCGCGTGTGGAGCCCCGAACAGGCGAATCAATCGATAGCCGACGAATCGATGATCGAAAACGTTGCCAACGTTTTCAATCGTCGATTTTAATCGACTAAATCGATTAACTGTTGCAGCTCTAATGATACATATATTTTGGTCATGCCCAAGCTTGCAGTCCTTCTGGGATCAGGTCCTTGGAGTAAGCAAATATTTGACCATGGTAAAGCTCAGAGACAATCCCTCTGCTTGTCTTTTACATCTAACCGCATAACCGGTCTCTAAATATCGGCATTCCCTTGTACATCGTTTGTTGAACGCTACCAGAGTGTGCATTCCAATGATATGGAGATAATCACAACCTCCCTCTGTTCAGTTGTGGCTTCCTAAGGTTCAGGACATTTACATAATGGAGGACCTTACGGCCTCTCTGAAGAACACCGAAGGGAAATTTTAATTCCACTTGAAGACCTTGAATCTATTATAGGACCGCCTCTCAATGCTCTCAACGGCAGTCTCACTCATGACTGAGGGTGGATTTTCTAGCTTCCGTTGCCTCACATGTCATATACTGCCCACCTGATACACTACACAGATGACCGTTATTTCTCGAACGATTTCCTTATATGGAGGCGCGGTAATGGATTTTGGTTTGGACTCCCTGGTCTATGGGGACCGCCTTCTTCCTTCTCTCCCACTTTTTCTTCGTACATTATCTGTTCTTTTTATAACTTCTTTGTATATCTTTTTCTTCTCTGTTTTCATTCCCTTCCTGACTTGAAGGAGTAGCCATAGATTTCTTTCCAATACGCTAGACCTTAGTGATGGGAATATAATGTTTAGTTTACTTTTCTTCAGCACTGTAAGCATGCCTGATTTCCAATGCTACGAGAAGCTAGATTGTCTATGATCTTGTTTTACCATTGTGCGTTTATTTATATTTATCTTACCTCTTTGGCAAATGATATAACAAATTTGTCCTTCTGTATTTTGTCAAAAAAGAATTTAAAGTGATCTACAGATCACAGAAATGTGAAAAAAAGATATAGGAGACCGCTTGACCAATCATGAGACAAGATGTCACAATTTCAACAGACCCAAAAAAACTGTTTAGTCAGCCTTCTTTATGTGCAGGTCTGCTGCCATTTATTATTATTATACTATCCTAATTGGATTATACCAAAATAGCACAGTGCTTCTTGAATGGCAATGAAATATCTGCTCTCACTTAGGTTTACTTTAGGGAGGTTTAAAGATGAAACCATCACAAACATGGCTGGTTCTTACTCTGCATATGGTGAAAATGCATTCCCTTTAGTGAGTACAGTGTTGAAAAACAAGTAGATCCAGAGACAACACAGGCAGCTGAAATGATATGTTTTTTATGTTAAGGCTCAGCTTGGAACCATTTAGAGACTCTGTATAAATTCCTTACTATAATGAGCCACATCATTGGTTAATAGAAGATGAGATGGAGGAGACTTTAGCAGAAAAAGCCCAAATCTGCATATAGCTTGAGCTGTTTAAATCTCTGGAACTGATTGGAGTCAGATGTCTTGACATGCAATTTTCACTAAAGGCAGGCTCTTTTTTTGTTTTGCTTTTTGGGGTGCCACCTTTTTTCAAGTGAAACCCGAACATTTTAGTTTCAAAAACTTTTTTAGGAGAATACAGGAGAGATTGAGGAGAGACAGCCAGGCAGGGGAGACGTCCAGGGAGGGGGAGACGTCCAGGGAGGGGGAGACGTTCAGGGAGGGGGAGACGTTCAGGGAGGGGGAGACGTCCAGGGAGGGAGAGACGTCCAGGGAGGGAGAGACGTCCAGGGAGGGAGAGACGTCCAAAGGAGGAGAGAGACGTCCATGAGAGAGAGAGAGAGAGAGATCGAGAGGGAGGAGGGGAGAGAGAGGCAGGAGAGACGTCCAGAGAGCGAGAGGGAGGAGAGACGTCCAGGAGAGAGAGGCAGGGGAGGGAGAGTAAGGAGAGATGACCAAGAGGATAGGCCAGGGGAGATAGAGAGAGCAAGGAGACACGGCCAGGAGAGAGAGTGAGGCAAGACAGCCAGGGGAGAGTGGAGAAACAACCAGGAGAGAGGGTGAGTAACACATCTGCCTGAAGCAGAACCCTTGTGCCCTTCAAGACTTATCTGCACCCTGTGTTTCAGACAACTCCTTGCTCCCTGAGTTCCAGCGTCCCTCCACGTCCTGTGCCTCCTATATGCACTCAAGTTGGAACACCTGGCATCGTGACATCTTGTGTCCAGGTTTCAGCCAGGGAACACAATCATGTGGGGGAAAAATAATTTTTGTGTGCAAGTGGGCCTTAATGATTGTTTCCAGTGCTCTGAAATTCACCCTATCGCTTGGATTTGAACCACTAACAGAGCAATAATCCAAACTATGCTAGAAGTTGTCCCATTACTTGAATAGATCAGTCCATAGACAGTCTCAAATAAAGAAGGTAAGGGGAAGAAATGGTCAATTCTTACTTGAATATCCTAGTTAAATGACTTTTTAGCTCTGTGTTATTCTTTCTAAATATACAAAAGAATAACTCTACACTGTATTTCTGTGACTAGATCAGATTTTTGCTCATAATTTTGGACAGATTTTTTTTCGTTCGGTTTCCTTCAGTATGTTTATAATTTTGTTTCTGTTTTCTTTCTTCTCTTTAGGGCTTGAAAAGACTGATGACAATTTGCCAGAAGTATTTTTCAACCGATCCCTCAAAGTGTGTGGAATACAACGCATTATAGAGACATTAATTTTACACTTCTAGCCGTGTATTGTCTTCAAATACAGCAACCGCCTCACCAGCTCCGATGGATGGATGGATTTCTGTTTTATAGAGATACTTCCTGTTTTACATCTTCAGATCATTATTCAGTAACACACCTTAAAGTCACACTATTTCTATAATACCAGACTGTTATTTCATGTGTATGTATTTGATGTTACTTCTGAAGATGTGTATAAAACAAACTTCTTTCTTTTTTGTTTTTTCACCTCAATTTTATATTTCTGTTAATGGTTGGGCTGAAGAATGGCTGTTTATGTATTATTGTACATCTTTCAGAATGCCTTTCATTATATGATGGTGAAAGATATTCCAAAACTCTTCATACAGAGTTTTCTATCTGGACACACATATTAAAATTATATCCAACCCCAAGAACAACATTGTCATATATTGCAGCTTACAGGTCTGTAGATGTGGTGGCTGCATTAGGTTTTTTAAGAAATAATACAATTTCTTCAAGTATAGAAAAATATCTGTTTATCCTGTCGGAAATTGTGTGCCCTTGTAAAGTCCTATGGACTGAACTGAGATCTCAGACAATGTTAACAGTTGTCACAGTGCAGTGAGTGAGTGTTGTCACCCTAGGCCAGGAAGTGTCTTATTGGCAGATTCACCAGGTGGCAGTACAGAAAAAATCCTTACTAATCCAGCCACCACATCTAAAGCTGCAATATATGTTACATTTTTGTTCTTGGGTTTAGTGTATGTTAAGTTCAAACCAAACTTGTTTTGGTTTTAGAAAAGTGTAGGAAAGGGTTAAAACCCCTCAATATTTCTTACTGTTTGGGGAGATTTACCTTCACATCCTGCCCTGGAAACACAACAGGAACTGAGAGGAAATCTCTCCAAAGTGAACAGAACTGCGGATACTGATAGATGTAATAAAAGTACCAATATCCATACAGTCCTAGTAGCTCCAAAGAGACTCTCTGGAGCTGACACGTCTGTATGAATAAAGGTACAGCTATCTGTAAACCATTGCTTATTGGCAATTTGCACAGCCCCAGACAACCAATACAGTGCCTGGGTAGTGTGTTCTCCAGCTCTTCCACCTATACCCAACTGGGAATTTATCATCTCATAGACAGCAGTGACAGGAATGGCTCCTGCTATCAGTGTGGGTGGTATGCTAGTGTCACAGCAACAACTGCGGGCAAAAGTCTCTCCGAAGTTCTGTGCAAGTGGACTGCTGCTGTCGCCTCTGATTTAGAAGCCTGCTGTCTGGCCGTGGCTTGCAGCAACCATTCTTGCAGCATAATTACATGAGCTACTTTTGATGTGATTGCAAATCCTCAGTTCCCCAACCGAGGATTTTCAATCTCATCCAAAGGTAGCGACAATAGGTGGAAGAGATGAGCTCAAAATTAGGCTACCTAGGCACTTGTTTGGGTGTCTGCAGCTCCCTGCAAAGTTCTAATACTGACAGCAGAGGCGGTTTATAGATGACTGTTATACAATTACTATCAGACCTAGAGCCATCAGAGATTTAGGGATAACAATACTTCCATTGCAGCTATTTACAAGCAGCTCCTGCTGTCAGTATCAGTGGGAGGCTTTTAGGCAACCGTAGGAGTAGCTGGGATTTAGTAGGATTTGACACTTCCAGAAATGACAGAGACTTGCAAGTTATGAAATAGGTAAAAGCTGATAAAAAAAAAAACCCACACAAAAAAAAAAAAAATCACACTATGGGGGGGAATGTATCTAAACTGGAGCAGGCAGAACCTGGAGCAGTTGCCCAGGGCAACCAATTAGCTTCTGTCAGTTTGTTCAGTTTAGATTTAAAAATGAAAGATTGAAGCTGATTGGATGCCATACACAACTGCTCCAGATTCTGTCTGCTCCAGTTTTGATAAATTCCCCTCCTATGGGGCTAATTTACTGAAAGCAAATAGAATGTCCATTGTGCAAGGGAATTTCCCGTCGCTTAGTGAATGAAGTAGAGCGCTGCTGACTTCCATCACCAAATTATTTGCATGCAAACGTTTTTCTGTTTCTTGCACATGATTGGGTATTCCCTGCAAAGTAAATTCTCACCACATTCACTAAGCCATGGGGAACCTTCCCTTGCAAAGTGTACAGCTTATTAGCCTTCAGTAAACCAAATCCTATGCTTCCTCAGGACTGGGGTCACAGGAAGGTGCAGCCTTTGAGGTGTTTCATTCTTCCAGCTCTGTTTGTAAATCACAAGACTAGCTGCACCAAACTGCAAATCCTTTGGCAAGTAAACATGTACAGTATAGTGTTGCTGGGCAGTAAGTGAGCTGTGTGCTGGAAATATCAGCCCCCCCTGTACTGCTTTTATTTACAGCTTATCTCCGGGAAAAAAAATTAAACATTTTTATTAACAAATTTTAAGAATAATATAAACATTTCAGGAAATCCTTGTAAGTTTACTTTACAGTCAAAATCCTGGAAACAAAAAAACTCCTCGGAGTGTGTTACCCCTGCACGGGTTAACTGCTTGTTTTTATCTGGGGGCATTATGTAATGCACTTTTACATACCGCATCCCACACACTCCAAGACCTCCATTCTCTTCCCCCTGCACTCTAGTGGTCAGAGGCCCGCTGAGGTCATCTCATACAATGTAGGGCCTGTAGCCCAGCAATATTTTTATCATTATACAGGATTTATATAGTGAAGATGAAATATATATAATCCGTGCTTTATGGAATAAGTACAATTTAAAAGGAGAATTAAATAATATAAAATATTATTAAAATATTAATATAATATATATAAAAGCTGCTGCGCTCAGGACACTGGGGTCAAAATGTATGTAGATATATAGTGCCCACAGTTTGCCCAGCGCTTTACAAAATATGGGGGAACAGTAAAGTTACAATACAATGCCATACAAGAGGATTAGAAGGGCCCTGTTCCAGAGAGCTTACTATCTACACAGCGGTAGACAAACTTTGGCCCTCCAACTTTGGTGAAACTGCAATTCCCATCATGAATCTGCTTCTGGAAGTCATGGCTGTGGTTGCCAGAGTCTTGCAATGCCTGACAGGATTTGTAGTTTCACCACAGCTGGAGGGCCAAAGTTTGGCTACCGCTTATCTAAAAGATTATATGTGAGGGCACCGAGCGACAGTTCACAAGCTTGGGAGTGGTAAGCACTGACTCCCAGGCAGCAGGAAAGGTAAAACTGCTTTACACAATACCCCTAGACCAGGGGTCTCAAACCTCTGGCCCTCCAGCTGTGGTGAAACTACAAATCCCATGATGCATCTCTCTTCTAATGGATTTCCTGAAATGTTAATATTATTAATCTTGAAATTGGTTAAACATTTTTTTCATTTAGCCTGTGTATGAAAGCAGTATGATCATATATGATGTGACCTAAGGGTCCCTGGTTTCAGGCCTCCTAGCATAGAAGTGTGAAGGAACAGATGGAAGATCAAGTGCAGGTCCACATTCCAGTACAAGCCGTGGTACTGGTAATTCATACTTTACATGCTGACATTATCCAGTCTCCTCTCTCTATTGTCTCATTCCTTCCAGCCTGTCCGGGGAGGTGTTTCTAATTTCTGTTATAATATTTGGACATGAGCGAGTTTTCCTTTGATATGTTATTGTACCGTTCTGGTTCCACACAAGCTAAACAACATTTATAACCAATGGCAGAATCTTCTGCGTATATTGCATTATAAATCCCCTTTTCTATAAAGAACAAACTTGTCAGCTTTGCTATGGCTTTGACACAACACAGGCCTCTGTTTTTACAGATAAATAATCTATTGGACTTCACAGCCTAGCGTAGTCCGGTACATTAAAATAGCTCAAAAAATATTTTTCTTGCCATGCAGACATTAAAATGAAATCCATTATGTTGTGCCGTGTAGTATCCCTATACTGTTTGAATTCACTGGAGGACTTCATGTTGTGTTTGTAGGGCAGAGGGGTGGAGGAAGCGCTGTTTCTCACGGCATCTGTATGTAATAGTTTGCAGCTGCTGAGTGTGAGAGCCAGTGCGGATCCCACGAGAGTAGAGCTCGAAACTGTTATGGCAACTGGATTTCATCACATACACTATCCATTCAGAGAAGTCACTTGATAACAACTCGCTTGACCTTTTAGTGGACTATTGATAATCAGTTTGTTATATAATATGTTTCTGAAGGCATTGCCCAAACACAAAGTCACTCATTACATGCATATGTGTTTTTAAGAGAACAAGATGTAAAAAAAAAAAAAAGTTTTTGTGCCCTTTTAAAAAAATGTCAGGGTTTCTCCTTAATGGGCTCCTAAAGTTTCAACTGATCTTCGTTCAAAGGGAAACGCCACTTTAAAAAAATATAAAAATGGAAAAAATTGTAAAACAAATCTAGCATATATCATTTTTGCACAAGCCGTTTTTGTTATTTAATGATATTATATATTACATTGCCATTTATAACTGAAGCTGCTGGAATTTTCTCACAAAAAGTCAATGCAATATGGTGACACAGTTGGTGTATAGAATGCCCCCCAAAATGTCACTTCCTGCTTGTGTGATTGGCTGACTGATTTTCCTAGAAGGCCGCACTAAGATACAAGTAAAATTTTAAGCATCCCTAGAAATTTAATTTTGGGTGACATTGGCAAGATACTCCTTAAGACCCCATTCACACTGAGCGACATGGATATTGCGCGTTTTTACGCATAATTTCGTGCTGAGCGGCTTTGAGCTACATTGCGCGATATTGAGCGACAGTGCACATTTTATCGCGCTACATATCGCGTTTTTTGGGCGCTATTGCGTCGCTGCTACATTGGGCTGTAACCAATCAACGGCGATCTTGATGTGACATCATTCTTTCCTTCCATTTTGCAGTGCAAAAGTGACCCTCCTATAGCGTGATAACACGCGACAAAGTCGTGCAATATCGCCGGTAATGCGCAACACCATAGAGTCTATTGGAGCCGAATCGGGCGACATCCGCGGAAAAAAGGGTCATGTACGAGTGACAAGCTGGAGCAACGAGCTACAGGCGACATTGAGCTGCGAGACGTGAACAGCTCCATTGAAATGCATTGGAAAAGCTACATAGAGCCATATAGCGCGGAAATATGTGCGATTTCGCAGCGGAAATCGCGCGATAAACTGCTCAGTGTGAACGGGGCCTTAAGGTGCCCATACGCCTTACGATTATCGGACGAAACTTTTCGTCCGATGATCGAATCGTCATCCTGCCC